TATTTTACAATTAATTTTAAGATTTATATTTTTATTTATATTTTTTTCTTATTCTTATATCATTCAAAATAAATTCAAAATATAATTTTTATCATGTTCTAAATTATAACCTTAATCAAAATATCTTGTCAATAGATGTTGTATAGATTTTAAATGCGTTTTATCGAGAATATAAAGATATATTAAATATGCTTTATCGGTAGATATAAGTAAATCATAAAATAATTAAATTATTATCATTATATTCATATTTTTTCCAACAATTTATAAATTGGCGCCATAACGGGCAATGACGTGAACGTAGACAAATTCAAAAGGGTGAACACGAGCAGGTGACAGTCAACTTTTCTCATCAATGTGGCGCCGGCAGTGATTAAATGATAAATTGGATGTATCCGTGAACGGAGATTTTAGTATAGAACACGACTTAGAACGATCGTTTTTTTAAATAGAAAGAGAGAGTAAGCTCAACCACTATTACCTTAAAGATTTGTGCACGTTGACGCATTCAGCGAACTTCGTTAAACTATTCGAATGATGATGACAGTGTACTGACTCTCACCGATTCGGAAGCTATGGCGAACATCGCGGCACTGAGAATCCAACGCGAATTTAAAGAGGTTATAAGAAGCGAAGAGGTAAGCGAATAATAATTTTGTATAATTTTAAAAAAATAAGATTTGTTTTGTATTCAAGATATAAATATTAAAATTGCTTAACAACATCGAATAGTTATGTTGTACTATTCCGAATATTTCATGTGTGGCGTGACAAAAATGCCGCAATTCATTGGTTGATAAAATCACCGCGAACAAAGCATAGGCACCTGTTGTATAGTATTCTTGACTGTCATCAGCATTTAATCTCGTTAAAATTCACCAATTAAACATTTATATTTTGTCGCAGTAAAAATATTTCTATTAAATATTTTTACTTAAGAAAAAAATAATTCTAAATAAATTCTCTGTATCTTTTCAGATATTTCAATGTACTAAAATATAATTTTAATTGTATAGAATAATACATTTATGTTTTGTATTTGATGCTAATCATCGACAAATGATTTTTTTTATTAATATTTTATTGAAATATAATACATACCATTTGCCTTTAATTTCTGTGAGCATTGACATATTCGCTCGTTCTTCTGTTCTAAAAGATCCATTCTATATGCACACAAATATATCTGTTTTCATTATTTCCACATATTTATAGAGAAGTAGAATACACCGGAATATCTCAATCTTTATATTGCAACAATATGGTAAATTATTAATATACGATATTACATCATTTCAATATCAGATGATAATGTCATTAGGTCATTGGTTATATTTTACATACACTTTTCAAAAATCATTTATATGCCATTACAATGTTATTTTCTATATGCTATTTTTATATCTGTTATTCAATAAAATCATTATATATTTTATAATTTATATCAAAAATTATATAACTCTTTATATATTAATACATAATAGGCAATTGCAATGTAATTACCTGCAATTATACTTTCATGTTATTGATTTTTGTGTTTTTGTTATTCATTTGTTTATAGATTTAAAAAAAAAATGTAAGATTAATTTTGTTTCATGCAAATTGTAGACACATTCATGTAAGTAAATATATTTTTAAAAAATTTTAATAATAATATAAATATAATGTAATGATTATAAATAATTATATATATATATATTTTTTTGTAATTTATTTAAATTTTGTTGTAGGTTGCAAAATGTGCAATTAAAGTCGAACTAGTAAATGATAGTTTTACCGAATTAAAAGGTGAGATTGCTGGTCCACCAGATACACCATATGAGGGAGGTAATTTTGTGCTCGAGATTAAAGTTCCCGAGACATATCCCTTCAATCCTCCTAAAGTAAGCACTTTGTAAGTCAATAGGATTAAATTATGTTAATGATAAAGTATCAATTTTCTTCTATTTGAAGTTAAGAAAGATCAATATAACCTAAAGCATGACAAAGCATTTTCCAAGTTGTTTGTATTTATATTTATAAAAATTTTTTTATTATAATATTATAATTTAAATTAATAAAGTATAAAATTGTGAAATATTGAAAATATTAGAAATATATTATATCAATTTTATATTAAAAAAAATTAGTTATGAAATGTTATAAAAATAATTAAGAATCAGTTATAGATATAACGAATATATACATATTTACATAATAATTTATTATTTATTGTCGTTTAATTATTATATTTTGTCATATACATTTTTTTTCTCCTTTTGTAGGTACGATTCATAACAAAAATATGGCATCCTAATATATCTTCAGTAACAGGTGCTATTTGTTTAGATATATTGAAAGACCAATGGTATGTAATTACAATTAATAAGAATAAAAGAATAACATTTTTATATTTTAAATCACATTTTCATATTTTAAATATCGTTTTTTAGGGCTGCTGCCATGACTTTGCGCACAGTATTGCTATCATTACAGGCTTTATTATCCGCAGCAGAACCAGATGATCCACAGGATGCAGTAGTGGCTAGGCAATATAAAGAGCACCCAGAAATGTTTCGTCAAACTGCCAAACATTGGACATACGTGTATGCAGGTGGTAAGTATATATTTTCTAATTTTAATCATAACATCATGGTTTTGCTTATACATCTTGAAATTAATTATTAATTATTGCAAAAACAAAATAATTATAGGACCAGCAAAGATGCCCGATTTAGATGATAAAATAAGACGACTAACAGATATGGGAATCGAAGAACATAACGCAAGAGTTGCTTTATCTTCATACAATTGGGATTTGGAACGTGCTACTGAACAGCTCTTCAGTTAGTGATAACTGTATAGTTAATCCATCATATAAAAACACTGCTCATTTTGTCATTACAAAACTTCTGTAACACCATGTTCAATTATCGATACCATAGGAATTTCATAATCAAATTCAGCACTTGTAACGACAATATTTCAATGGCAAAAAGATTCACAGAAAATTCATTTTAATAATCCTAAATAATACTCATTTATTTAACGTGTAAAATAGGCATGAAAAAACAGTAATTAATAAAATCTGTTAAGTCCAATTTAATAGTCAAATTTTAAAAAACTGTATGAAAAATATGTCATTTTTTATCTTACGTTTATTAAAATTTTAAAATTGTTATTTAAGCCATAAAGCATTTATCATCCTTTTTTTGTTTCAATATTAAAAAATGGCTTTATACGATAAACAATTATTAAATCTTTTTGTACAAATAACTGTATACTTCTAAATTTTTTTTTAGATGTTCCTTTCACTTTATGTAATTGTCTTTAAATGATATATATATAATATATATATATATGTATATATATATATATATATATATATATTTGTGCTCTTTATCGAAAAATTTTTTGCAAAGAATAGCATTATTTCATTTTGATGATATAACGATATCTATTTTGTATATGGTTTTTTATATTAAAATGAAAACCATGATTAGTTTATATTTTTGTCATTAGATTTTTGTAGATTTCTTTAAGCCATAAAGAGGCTTATTATCTCTATATTATCTTAATTATATCTGATTGTACATTATAGATATCAACTTGTTAATATTAAATGGAATTTGTAAAAAGAATCATAAACATAAATATTATACCGTTGATATTTAAATTCTGTACATTTTTGGTGATGGGTTATATATTTCCAATGATTCATAATATTAATCATATCGTTTATAAATATTTTTTTTTTATGTATGCATAGTTTTTTGTACTCGAAGCTGGAGATGTACATTCCACGTTAAAAATTACATTTATCACATATTACGTATATATTAGAATAATGTTACAAAATAAATTTTTTTTCTTAATAACATTTAAAAATCAATAATACAAAAAATGGCATTGATTCAATTGACACTTCCAGCTTATGAAATTTAAAAAAATTTCAAGTAATTTATATCTAACTAAAAATATTTAATAAAATTTATTACAATTGTGTTTGTGAAAAATTGCTTAAAAAAAATTTATAAATTTGAGAAAATAATTATTCTCAAATCATTGATAAAATAATCATATTATAGAATACATTTGAAATTTGTTCAAAAGATTACTCGTGCATGTTATCTTTAAAATTTATATATTGTTTTATATTTTTCTTTATGCATTGCGTTGAAACCGAAATTTTTAATTTTCTTTTTACATCCTTTTCTATATTTTCTAATAATTTTGTATAGGCTACGTTAAAGATGTACCAGTGGATTAGAATACTATTTGTTATATTTGATTTCGAAACAAATCTTTGAAAATAAATATACATTAATTTAATTTATGATTAGAACATTATAAGATTTAGATTCTAAATGTAATTTAATATTTTAAGAATAATAATAAATAACATTTTTCAATAAAATGCAATAGGAATTACTCGTACAAAAAAAATTCTTCATTTTATTATACAGATAATTTTAAATTTAATAAATTTTCTGTATCATTCGTTATATTATTTAATTATATAATATAAGCATATCTATGATCTTGCTATCTATGCTAGAAATCTATTAGAATATTTTTTAGAAATAATGTTTAAAATAACTTACAAATATTAAATTTATAGAAAAATATATTTATATAAAAAATGTTTATCGCATATATGCATAGCAATAAACAAATATATCTTTAAATGGATAATAGTAGTATCAAAATTTATTTTCTTTTATTATTTTTTTTTTTAATAATTCATGTTATATAAATACGTAAAAAGTTTTTGTATTGTCATTAATTTGGAGAAAATTTATTTCATTTAGAATAATCTAGATCAAGTTTTATACTTTTTACTTACTTTTATCGTGAATAATTTTATGCAAACAAATATTCAAACATAAAAAAATATATATATAACATTATATATATAACAAAATATATATAACATATATATATATATATAATGTTATCGATAATAATCTACTACATATATGATATATGGAAAAAAATTATTTCTATTTATTTTTACTTTTTTTCTATTTACCAATAATAATTATCCATGATTATAAATTCTAACTTTTTTTGAAGAAAGCGTTGTCAAAAATAAATGGCTATTAATGTCAACCGTACACATATCTACTACAGGATCAGAAACAGGGATACTATTTACTTGTTTTCCAGTAGATATACTCCATAACGATATACAACTAGTAGATTCTTGATGCGCAGCAACTAACGTATCATTTTCAATATTTATGTAACATGGTCGGGACAATAATTGTTGAGAATTACCAGCATGAAATGTGTGTATTACATTACAAATTGTTGATTCATCATTGCCTTTTTCTATGGTACATACTATGTGTCTCGCATGAGGTTGTCTAACATTTGGTCGGGAAGATATTAAAGCATGATTATTCTTTTTATCATAACATACAGATACAAATGGACCTTCAAGAAATATTTGTTTAGGTGTATATTTTGAATCTTTTTGTTCATAAGCATAACATGTGTTCAAACGACACGCTATGAATCCACCCCTGCTAATACCGCTACCAGGATTAGAAGATACTGTCGCTAAGGAAACTACCGGTGATCTGTCACCTGGATTATCCAAAGTTTCAATAGCACCAGAAGTTTGTCTAATATCAAATTGTGTTATAGATCCATTTTGTGCACCCACAAAAAATATGTTTGAATTATCGCCTGACCAACAGCAACTCCACAGTGGTGATTCTGTTTGATAAGCATGCACGATAATATGATTCTGAATATCCATTAATTTTGCACATTTATCAAAACCAACGCTGAGCAATAATGATTGTTGAGTTGCATTAAAAGTAACATCTCTTATAGCTTGGTTATGTAGAAAAATAAATTGACGTGGTTGAAATTTATCAGAATCAATTTTTTTAATACCATAACCCGAAAATAATGTATTTGTTGACTTCTGAGATACAACTAGGAATCCAAACCATGAATTGTAATCTAATACTCGGCAACCACCTTCCTTACATATCTCTATAGATCGATCTAAATGGAACTTCTTGATCGTATGTTTAGAAATATTTTGACACGAATGAACAGTTACTTCCGATTGCTGATTTTCTAACTCGGAAATCCGATTTTTCATACTAGCAATTTGTTGTTCAAATAATTTTTCTCTTAGATTATATTTTGAAAGTTCTATTTCTATACGATTTTTCTCAGTAGTAACACTATTTAATCGTTCTTTCAATTTATCTAATTCCGTAGTATCTATCGATGTCAATTTTTTGGCATACAGCATTCTGATATCTTTTACAGCAGCTTTTCTATTACATTGTGGACAACGACGATTCGCACTAGTGCAAGAATTTTGTAACCATCTTAAAATGCAACTATGTCCAAACAAATGTCCACATCGTAAACAACACAAACGATGATCCCCAGAACTAGTCCATAAATCCATGCATATTGGGCAAGATTGGTCAGAATCAACCTCAGATTCATCCAAAATTGTTTCTTTTATCTTCTTTATTCTCGATTCAGTTTCGTCATTACCTTCTAAAATGTTATATTGATTTAAATCCGAAGAATATTTATCATAATAATAATATATAAATTGAAACTCACTTGTGTCTTCCGTTTGAATTTCACTTTCTAAATTGTTGTTAGCATTATCATTATTATCAGATTCTTCTGAATAATTTGCTACATCATCCATTTGTACCGCTTCTTCTTCTATAATATATTATCAAAATTGAGATAAATTATTGCAGTTATCATAATAATTATAAATTCATCTTACTTAATATATAAAATTTTACATATATAAATTTTTTTTTATCTTTCAATTTATGATTTAAAAAGCAATTTTTAACGTTTTTTATAATATAATATATAAAAAAATATAAAAATAATATATTCTTATTTGCAGAAAGAATATTTATACCGTTAATATTTGTGTTATTTTATTAAAAATTACTTACCGTAATCCATAACCTCCATTTTACAGACATTTAAATTATTAATTGCTATTTATGAATACATTTATAAATATACATGTTGTATTATTAAAATAACTAAAATTTTAAACAAATAAGAATTTTCGTTTTATATTTATGTTCATTAGATCCGTTCTGCGAATCAAATATAACAAATCAAATACAACAATAAATATAACGGATATTTCGTGACCTTTCATAAAGAAATATAGTATTGTTATAAAAATGATACGGATTGAATTTATTCCGAATGAATTTAATGAAACGACATATATTACTTACAGTTTTAAATAATAATTTTTTTTTCTTTTATTTCTTGATTCAACATTATTGTTCGTTTCGTGAACGTATTTATTAATAAATATGAAAGAAGTAAATAATTTTAATTTTCACATGTTGACATATCATTGTTAATATATCGTAATTATGGTAATAAAAATAATTACTTACATACATTTTAATTATTACACATATTTTTTATTATCTTTGTTATTAAATAATTAAATGTATAATAATAAGTAAAAGAATTTGCATGCATGACGTTGACATTACACCCTTGACGTTATTCGTTAAAACATTTCAATATTATTTTAATATTAAATTTAAATTAACAATATTTTCTTTTTTATATTATTTATTAATGTTAAATAATATAGACAGGTAGAAAAATATTTTTAACTTGATTATTATGTTTTTTTTATCGCTTTTATACAAATATGAATATACCTTGGATACTGTTATATCGATAAGTTTAAATATATAACTGTATAAAATAAAAATAAAAGACGCATGCTTCATATTGATATTTGAAGAAATTGAAGGTTCTCCCGAGTAAGTGTCATAATTTAAAAAAGTTTTTTTTTTTTTTGATTTCTTTTTAAATTTCAAAAAATTTATAAATTGATTATCATTTTAATCCATTGTGCATTTCAGTTTCTAGACCTTGATTAAAATTACAATCCAAAAAAAAAAAAAGATAATTTCGAAACAAAAATAGAGAAATCGTTCTACGCAATTTGATAGCGATACCGTTCCTTCAGTGAATAAACGAGAGAAGAGGATCATTGTTCTAGAATTTGCAATAGTGTCGTAAAAACCTTGTATTATTAAGTGAAGCAACGGTATTGTATCGAAGGTAAAATAATGAAGGTAAAATATTGATTAAATTTTTAATATATTTCTTTCAATTTTGAAAAATCATTTCATTATATGAAGTAGGTACTTTGTGCAAAAAATTTCTTATAAAAGTTTAATTATCTATAAATGATAAATTTTGATATTTAAAAAAAATCGATTTAATTAATTTAGAAGCGGAGGCCGTGTTCATGGAATACATTTAGTTCTCCAAGAAATTCACCAACATCTATTCATGCTCGCGAACTCGATGGTGTTCCTGTTAAAACTAAAAGTTTTCACGATTTAAAGCGTTTGAAAAGGTGTAGTCCAAAATTACAAAAAAAAAGTGCAGAATACAGAGAATCTTCATTGAAAAGAGATGCGTTTGGCTCGTTAGAATCCTTGTTTGATTTAAAAAAGCCTTTAAATTTACCAGACATATGTTCGTTAGCGATTGAATATCATCAAGAGGGACATTTGTCACCTTTTATATCAAGAAATTCGAAGAATTCCAAAAATTTTGTCGAATCAATATTTCTGCAACAAGTGGATCTCGAACCACACATTCTTGAACGGGTGTGATTTTGGTATTATATGTATTTAAATTATCCAACAGTTAATAACAATTAATAAGCGTAGTAATTTCGTAGTAAATTCAATATTATATTTAAGAATAAATAAATCTTTGTAAGCTAATTCAAAATAATTTGAATAGACTTATGAAGTGAATGATTACAAGGACAAATTAAAGGAAATTAAAGAAGAATCAAATTTTGAAACATTAAAATTACAAGAAATTGAAACGTTGAACCAAGAAAAAAAAGAATCTATTTCAAAGTATGAGATATTTAATTTTTAAATTCATTTTATTTAATAATTCAATAATAAACTAAATAATTAAATAATAAATTTATTTAATTACGAAGCATGGCCGAAGAAGGAGGCGAGGAAATAATAGATGAAGTTCCTGATGAAAATATCGAAGAAAATTTAAAAGAAGAAGAAGGAGCAGGAGGAGGAGGAGGAGAAGAAGGAGGAGAAGAAGAAGAAAAAGAAGAGGAAGATGAAGAAAGCAGAGAAAAAAAATCGAAAATGACAAGCGAAGATAAAGAATCGGAAAAGAAGGAAGAACGACCTCCGTCATATCCACTTCCTCCTGGAGTCGGTGAAGGTATAATATTATAAATTACATTAAAAAGAATAAGATTATAAAAAAAATTTTAAAATTACTTTGTAAATGTTTATAATATATATTTTTTCAGGTGTACCAATTAAACCAGGTGGTAAACAGGAATCGGTATTAAGTTCGTCTCCTTTGACCGATAGCGCTGTAATGGTCGAAATGAAGAAAGCGGATGAACGTTGTGTTGTGCTTTCAAAAGAAATCGAACAGTTAAAACAAGAAATAGCTGCGCTTTCAAATGTAATAATTCTACAAGAAACAAACTAAATTAAAACAATTTTAATTTAAAATAAAATTTGAAAAGCATAACTTAATTATTTAAAATTAATGTTTTATGTTATAGAAAAAAGATTTAACCGATGATGATACGTTAATAATTCACGAGAAACAAGATGAAGTAATGAAGAAATTGGCAGAATTCGAGCAGATAACGCGAAAATTACAACGATTGTTGGGATTGACCGATATCTCAAGTTCTACTTTTGCAAAGATGTTCGATATGCAACCTTTTTTAAAACCTAGTGCAGTAGGTATTTCTAGCAATCATTAAAATGAATAAGGGGGAAAAGAATAGGGAATAAAAAATAAAAAAAAATATATATATAAAAGAAAAAATAAATCGTAGATCATCACCGAAGAAGAAGAAATCGAAATAAAGGAGAAAATAGACAAAATAACAGATATGGAATTAGAAAAACTTAAACATCGTTTCGATTTACCTCAAATAGAATATCCAGAAGACAAGTACGTTATATAACATTATTTAATTTTTAAGAACATATTATATCGAACGGTTATTCAATTAGACTTCCAAGAGTAATCATCTGTGGGCATACAGAAGATGAAATACCAAAAATAGTTGTGGCAGATAGTAAAAAAAAGGGAAAGATAGATGCCTTCAAAGTTTGACTGGAAAGTTAACAGAATCGTTAACAATGCAGGAAAAATTAGTATTAGAAAATGCACAACTTGAAGGTGGCAAGTAAGTTTTACAAAACATAACTTCATTTTACATAATTATCGATATCATATATTATATACATATCATGTTACATCATATTATACATATATATTAGAGAAAAGAAAAAAAAAATAAGAAAATCGATCAAAAAAAAAAAAAATGAAAACTAATTAATCTCCTTAACAACGATCATATAGATTATCTTTAACGAAAATATGTTGACATAAACCATGTGATCTTATTTTTATTACGAAAATTAATTTATCGACGTCTTAGATATAAATTAGAAGAAGCATTGCTAGAAAAGGATACCGCTGTTGAAAGTCTTCAAAGGAAGGTATGCGGGCTACAAGCTGAAATGAGAATAGTCGTGAAGGAAAATGTGGAATTGACACGTCAGTTAGCTTGCTTGAATCAACGAATCACTAGTCCTTGTTGTTACACCTGTCCAGGTGGAATTTCGTCCGAAGTATCAAGTCCATCACCTTTACGTTCAACTTCATACACTACCACATTACAGCAAGACGACGATTATTGTCGGTGCAAGTGTTGTCTTCAGTCTCAATTTATCGATACTTCACCAATTGCAACTACCATATGCGGTATATATACATATACGTACATATATACGTACATACATATATATATATATATATATATATATATATATATGTATTTCGATAAAATTATCAATCTTTTCTTTCAATAATGTTAATCAAATAGATAAAAATGAAATTATAATACGTTTCAGTAAAACCAGAGAGTCAGACATATTTACCTAGTGGAGGTAAATTATATTTTCATTACAATATAATAATAAAATTTTTTTTATCGAAAATTAATTTTAATATTAATATTTTTAGATTCACGTAGACTCGCGGGAGGCGCATCAGGTCCTTGCGTTACAAGTGGTACTTCTTCGCAAACCGATATGTGCTGCCGAAGTCCTGCCACAGTTAAAACACCTTGTACAGGACCACCACCTTCAAGGGGGACATGTCCAGCGGAAATAGAGAATAAACTTGCCGCTTATGGGAATAGTACCAAACAGCTAGTACATCTTCAAATTATAGTTAAGCTTTAATTTAATTTCTGTGTTTATTTATTTATAATTTTTTTATAGGAGCAACAATTGGGCAGTATGGAATGCGAAGTACGCAACATGCAAATAGAGCTTGCCAATGTTCAACGAGAACGTCAACAATTGGAACAACAACGCAAGTTATTAAAATGTACCGGTCCTTGTGCACCTTGTGGTTGTTGTCCTCCTCCGCCTTTGAATCTTCAACCTTCAAACACAACTCCATATGTACCTCCTGTATCTGCTATACAACCTACTGTTATACAACCATCTTCTATACCTCTTCCTAAGGTATCTATTTAATATTTCGATTAAATTATATATGAAAATTGTTCTATTCATTCGTGTATATATATATATATATTGGTAAAATTCTTGAAATATCATAAACAATTTTGAATCAAATAATATACATTTTTATATAAGTTTCAGATTTTTTATTTTTATTAAGCGTGATATACCGCATATCATATAAGATCGTTTTTCGTTCGTCGTATGCAGATGCCACCTGCTCCTGCAACCTGTACTGGTCCTTGCATAAGCGCTCCTATGGTAAGACTGAATTTCCGAAAAAGATTCAACACGAACTAAAGCAGCTATTTAAAAAAAGGGCGCTAGCACATGTCCTCAGCAACAGTTACGTGACCTACGCGAACAATATGCACGTCTACAAGATGATTACAAAAACAAATTATGCGAGGTTTCGTGTTTAAGAACAGATGCCGACAAATTGAAACAACAAACCCGTGATGCAATCGAAGAAAAAGAAAAATTAGATATCAAACTGATAGACGCTCAAGAACGTTTGAAAGCGATGGAGAT